CCCAAGCCTCCGCCTCCTGCAGGCTCCTGAGGTGCCGGCAGCGGGCATAGGGCAGCGGGCAGCAGGCAGTGGGCAGCGGGCAGAGGGCAGCGGGCAGTGGGCAGCAGGCAGCAGGCAGTGGGCAGCAGGCAGTGGGCAGCGGGCGGAGGGCAGGGGGCAGTGGGCAGCAGGTAATGGGCAGTGGGCAGCGGGCAGCAGTCAGTGGGCAGCGGGCAGCAGGCAGCAGGCAGCAGGCAGTGGGCAGCGGGCAGCGGGCAGTGGGCAGCAGGCAGTGGGCAGCGGGCAGCGGGCAGTGGGCAGCGGGTAGTGGGCAGCGGGCAGCGAGCAGTGGGCAGCAGGCAGCGGGCAGTGGGCAGTGGGCAGCAGGCAGTGGGCAGCGGGCAGCAGGCAGTGGGCAGTGGGCAGCAGGCAGCAGGCAGCGGCTGCGCTGGGCCAGGGCACACCTCCCACCCAGACCCGCTGCACTAGCCACTCGGCTCAGCACGCCCTGTCCCCCAGCACCTTCCCCCTCGGCGGCCAAACAGCAGGCAGTTCTGAACTGAGGTCGGCAGCGAGCAGCCAAGAGCATGCCGGCCAGGCTGTCAATCGGGAGATGTGCGTCCGAGACGCACGCAGGAAGCGGGAGTTTATTCCGTTGGGAAGGCCGGGCGTGGGCTCCCTAGCCCCGGGCCAGCTGCTTTCTGCTCAGACTCTCCTCTCAGCCCGAGCAGGTCCCGGGGGAGGGGGGCAGGGCCAGGCCTGGCCTTACGCCCTTCAGTCCCTCCGGCCAGCCACGCTGACACTGAGCAACGGGAGACACCCCTCCCCCAAGTCACTGGCAGCTCCAGGGAACCGACTGGCAGGCCTGGGTGTCGCCGTGGGTGGCTTTGTCGCCGTCATTCACAGGACGATGCTCACGCGTGGGGAACCCACGGAGCAGCCCCGCCCCCCTCGGGCCGCGGAGCCGGCGGGATGGCACCGCGACTGTACCCCTGGCTCTGCTGCAGGGTGGCCCCGTCGTAGTTGAGCTATTACAGTCAAACGGGGAGCGTTGGCTCAGGGTGGGGTTTGTGTGAGACAGGCAGGGGCAAGGGCAGGGGCAGGGGCAGGGGCAGGGGCAGGGGCAGGGGCAGGGGCAGGGGCAGGGGCAGGGGCAGGGTGGGTGCAGAGGCAAAGGCTGTGGGGCCCTGAAGGACAAGAGGCAAGAGGGGTGAGATGAATATCACTCGCCCCGTCCAGCAGGCCTCCCCTCCCCCTCATCTGGGACATCCACCTGCCCCCCTACCAGTCCCTGCTCAGTCCCGGGGGGGGGTGGGGGGGGGAATCCCTGCCGCTTTCACCCGCATCCTCCCGTTTGGTTCTCGCACGGCCCCACAAGGCGCCAGCGCAGACCCGGCTTGCGTTTCCGAGGCGGGGGAGGGTGGGGGGCGAGGAGGTTAGAACTGGACCCGAACGAACCATGGGCAGGTGGCCACGCGGGCTGCTTGGAGGCTGGCCACCTCCCGGCTCCTGCCCTCCTGTGCGCCCGGGAGGCACCACCCCGTCCTGTCTGTCCAGGCAGGAAGCCATCACCGTGGTCTGACAGCGCTCCCCACAGGCGAGGTCCCTCCGGAGAGGGGGATCTGCCGGTGCGCTCACGCCATCGGGGGCGGGGGCTGGGTTCGTCACTTTAAGTTCAGAGGGCCAGGGTCGTGAAAATGCAGAGAGGACTCAGATCCCATGGAACGGCTGCCTCCACACGTGATGGGGGAGGCGGCCTCCGTGGACTGGGTCCCAGCCAAGCTGGCCCAGCGGTCAGGCATCGATCAGCTGCCTGCACACCCCCCACTGGGGATGTGCCCGCAACCAAGGTACATGCCCTTGATCGGAATCGAACCCGGGACCTTTCAGTCCGCAGGCCGGCGCTCTATCCACTGAGCCAAACCAGCCAGGCTGCAGGCCACCGTTTAAAGAAACATTCAAGTGCTGGCCTGGAGGGTCCAGCAGTGTCTGCAGGCCCCGGCCTCAGATCACTGCCCGCAGACCCGGGCTGCCAGGCCCCCGAGACCGTGCCATGCTGTCCCACACTCAGAGTGTCCTCCCGCTCCCTGCTGTCCCTGAGCGTCTGCAGGACGCGCACCCCTCCCCCCAGAGCACTCCTGGGGCACAGCCCGCTCCGCACAGCACTCGGGCACCGTGTTCGGCCACGGGCCGGTGGGACCTCCCCTTTTGCAGATGGGGAAACTGAGGCTCAGAGGAGGAAAAAGCTTCGCTCAAGCCAGACGGGGTAGTAACGGGCTGTTACGCTGGGTCCCTTTGGGTCCTGGACCCCACATGCTACCCACGCCTCCATGCCGCCATTGTAACGTCTCAAAGCGAGCCGAGGAGAAGACTCCAGTGACAGCACCGGCCGTTCAAAGGGAGCGGAACCCGAGGCCATTTTTCTGGACTTGGGCCATCGAACCGGCAGACACGGCGGCTCTCAGGAGTCCGGGACAATGAGAGCAAACCGGCAGCGTGAGGGGTGCCTGCTGCCCCCTCCAGCGGAGCCTGCGGCCCCAGAGCAGACGCCAGCGGCCTGGGAGCCTCTACACGCCCGTCCCGGCAGCCGGGGTCCGAGGGGGCCGCCAGCACCTCCCTCACCACCGAGAGGACACCCCTCACCCCAGAACCTGGCACCGTCCGTCCCTCCCCTCCCGCCCCACCCCCTGCCGTCCTGGCCTCCTGGCTGCTCCCCACCCTCCTCCTGGGCCCGGCCTTGGCCCAGCCCCCTCTGCCCGGGCCTCAGACCCCTCTGTGCGCTGAGCACCAGCCTGGCCAGCCGAGGGGAGAGCCCCGACGTGCTGGGCAGAGGGTCTGGTCCGACTCAGGCTGATGGTAAAGGAAGCACTTGGCTTCCCCAGCCCCGGAGGAGAGCGGTCCCAGGCCTGTGTCTCGGGCACCAAGTTCTGCCCCCGGTTCAGGGCTGGCACCTTCGGAGCCGGCCTCCTTCCAAAGGCCCCGCAGGGCTGCTGGGAAGGCGCAGATGGGGCTGTGGGGGTATCTCAGCGCCGCCGTCTGCCGGAGCCTGGACGCCAGGGCGCCGCGGGCCACGGCCAGTCCCTGGGACACCATCACACAGGACGGCGCACGGCCGGCCCCCGCAGACACACATCAGACAGGACCAGGGGCTGATGCGGGAGCACGGGCAGCGCTGGCAGCAGCCTGCGCACAGAGCGTGCGGATGGCGGGCGGTGAGCCCGGAGCCCATGGAACCTGCCATCTGCCCGCTGTCACCTCTCCCGCCGCCTCTGCCTTCGGGGCGCACGGAGCGGGCTGCCCGGACATCCCCGTGGCCCGCAGTTCTCACCCTCCAGACCCTGGAACCTGGTGCCCGCTGGCCGCGGGACACGAGCCCAGGGCGGGGCGTCCCCTGGGGCGCACCCCTCCCCCCGCCGCCCACCCTCAGGAGGGGTGTCAGGAGGGCGTGGGGTGATTTTAGGGCCAAGGGGTGGGTGGAGCTCGGCTCCTTGCCGCTGAAGGGGTGGGGGGGGAATGGAAAGAGGGGAATGAACCCCACGGGGTGTCCCTGGCGGATGCCCCCCTACAGTCGCACCAGGGAGGCCGGGGCCAGCTGGGACGGGCGGGAGGAAGGCAGTCAGGGCTGCAGAGACCAGAGGAGGGGCCCCAGGCAGCCAGCTGGGGCGGCCCTTGGCCTGGGCCCTGACTTGGTTTTTAAATGTAAGTCTTCAGCCCGCACCCCCCCACCACCACCACTACAGGGGAGCGTGCTCACTGCGGACCCGCAGAGCAGGATCAGAAGCTGCAGCCGCGCCCGCTCGCCGGGGGAACACGTGACCCTCCTCCCATCCCCGCACCACGTGCTCTTTGAAGGGAGAGTGGGAGGCAGCTGCGGGGGCAGGGAGGGGGGTGTAAGCACAAGAAAGCCCTCGAGTGAAGCTTCTAGAAGTCTGGCAACAGAGCACTGGGAGGGAAGACTCAAAGCCTGGCAGAGCTGAGAGAAGGGGTGGGGGGCCGAGGGCCAGCCCCGTCGTGAAACCTGAGCGCCTCTGAGGGTTCTGAGCTGGGGAGCAACTCGGTCGCCTTCCCGGGCACTGTGCCGGGAGGGAACCTGGAGGCGGCCTCTGCGCCCCTCTGGGGCTCAGCCCCGCCCCTCCAGCCCCCCTAAAACACACGCCCTGCCTGTCAGTGCACAGCTCCTCTGGGGACCCTCCACCAGGTCAGTTACCCCGACTCCCCTAA